CGCAGATTGCAGAGACACTCGACACATCCGACAAGCTTTTTAGCACAGCGTCACGGATCATTCTGACAAATATCGAAGCCCGCAACGCAGGCCGATCTTCCGCGACGACGAGCGGCACCCAGCTCAAGCCAAAGGTGGCTTGCATTATTTCTTCCGAGGCTGCAACACCAAACGAGGGTGAAGTGTTGGCAGCTGCCCAGGATGGTGGCCGGCCGCGCAACAACCACGGCCGCGACAAGACGAAGACTCAATCCACCTCGACACCGAGCACCGGATCTGCCGCCGACGAACCTTGGGTACAATACGGACTCTCAGCGAACTCTTATCGCACGCGACTCAAGTACCGGTATTGCCTTTGGTGCAACAGCACCATCCACGATGCTGCACATTGCACCACCAAGGGGAAACCCCGTCAGGGAAAGTAGGCGCCGCCGAGGGAAACTCGACACCTCCCTCGACGCCATCAGAAGCGGTTGTGGCCACGACCGCCCTTTCTTCCGAGGCATATGCGGATGTCGGGAGTCTTCAACTTTCGTTCGAAGACTTCGCTACCCGGCTCGTTCCTTCACTGGATGCTACTCAAGGACAAGATACATGTGCGGCTTTCTCACCGTCCGAAGGTTTCTCCGCCAGTTCGTCTTCGTCAAGGGATTCGGCAAGCGTGTTCAACGAGGAGGCTTTGGACCCGCTCACGCCCGAAGACTTCGCTTGGACTCCTCTCCCTACGACGGGCAACCTTCCGCCAGGGTCACCACAATAGATGCACTGCCCCTGGTCCACACGGTGTTGCCATACGCGTTGGTCAAGGCCCAAGTCTTCCCAGGGCCTGCCCTTAGGCAGCCCTGGGTGCCATCCTCCTCTCCTATAGAGTGATCTATTTTCCCTATTGGGTGACCGATTCCCTGAGCGGTTTTGTGAGTGACCTTGACCCCTGCCTCCCTCTTGGCGGTTGCCTATGACGCCAACCCCCTGAACACCCTGGGTACGACCACCTGAGGCCCCCTTGGCCCTGGCCTCTACCTCCTCCTTGCGGCCTCCCTCCAGCCGCGACAGCAGAGTAAGTCCTCCCCTGGCTCACACTACTGTCCTCCTCCTCTAGCCCCCACTCAATCTGCTCGTAGGGGACTTCGTCGACACTACCCTCATCTAACGTAAGGATCAAGCGATCCTTGGTCTTAACTTGTCCTGAGATAGTGCGACCCTTCCACTTTTCCCCCTTGTCCAGGTCCTTGTGCCAGAAAGTGGAAACTGACATGGACCTCGCTTCAAATGCCACCACTTCCCTGCTCAATGCGTCATAGGTCATGGTGGGCTGCTGGCTCTTCTCAAAGAAGTGCCCGCGCAACTGTTCGGGCATAGCCCGATAGAAGAGGTTGACCAATTGGGTCTCTGTGACCCCATGGTCTGGAACATCTACCAACTCATCCATCACACCTTTTGAGTGCCTTGGCACTCTTCCACTGATGAGAATGGATAGTTTGCAACCTATCGGAGGCTTTGACACTGCGCGAAACGTCTGCAAATCGTTCGCGCAATAACTTAAGGAAGTCAACGAGGGGGGTGAAGGCAGAATAAGCAACTACATCATCACTACAATTAGTGGCGCGGACCAGGGAACGGGCAAAACAGGCGGCTTCCTCCTTTATAGCATGGATGGCTATTAGGACCTGCTCATCTAGGGAAACTTTATGTAAGTGCACGTACGTTTTGACGTTCGCTTCCCAATTGTCAAAGTTTTCTTCCTTCTTCCCACTGTAGGAATCGGGAAATTTGACCTTGACAGGCTCCCTACGGGGACGTGCTTCCTCCCCTTTGGGAGCGGTCAGTCTGGCACCCTCTATGGCACCTGTGCAATATCACTCTGTGCCTTCTAGGCGGACCCTCACTTCTGAGCCCACCTGTGTTGCCAATTCCCGTGCAAAGTCCTTGAGCCCCAATTGTATAGAACGCACGACAATGTCCTGACTTCCGCATTGGTGCAACAATCAGTGAGAAGTTTCTAACAAAGGCTTAACCAAGGAAAAATCGCGATTCAGTTACAGACTTAGGTTGTGGCCAATCTCTAATTGCTGAAATTTTTTTCTCTTCCGGCCTTAGACCTTCTTCGTTCACTATGTGTTCTAAGTATAACACTTCGGACTTAGCAAACTCAGACTTCTTGGGATTGATTTTGAAGTTGCCCTCATGCAACTTCCGTAGCACCAGACGGAGGTGCTTCTCATGATCCTCTAGTGTTTTACTATACACTAGAATATCATGAAGATAGACAATAACAGACTTATCCAACCGTTGACGAAACAAGTCATTCATTGACCTTTGAAAAGTTGCAGGGGCATTCATTAATCTGAAGGGCATTACCACGAACTCGTAGTGGCCATACCTGGTCTGGAAAGCGGTCTTATGCTGATCGGAGGGTTCCACCTCGATCTGGTGGTACCCAGATTTCAAGTCGATCTTGTTAAAGTACCTGCATCCCTGTAACTGGTCAAGTAAGTCGTCAATTCATGGAAGAGGTTCGACATTCTTAACAGTGACGACATTCAACCCTCTATAATCAATACAGAGACGTAACTCACCTTTGCCAGGGGCACCATAAGGAGAAGAGCTAGGGCGAATCCATCCTTTCTCTGTTAAGTCTTGAAGTTGTTTTCTCAGTTCCTCAAGTTCCCTAGCAGACATTCGGTAGATAGGGCCCTTGGGAATCTTACTTCCAGGAATAATTTCAATGGTGTGCTTAATTGCACGCTCAGTTATTCCTGTGGGTTCAGTGAATAAGTCTTTATACTCGCTTAAGAGTTTTTCAGTCGAATAAGGATAAGAAGAAGAAGACTCTTCTGCTCTTTTTACTAAAATCATCATTACTTCCTGTTCCAACTTCTTCTTTGAAACCACTGAACGAAAGGTTGGATAACTCGTACATCAAAAAGACAAACTAGAGTCAGACCCAAACTTATGAAACAATTTGATTGGTTTCAATTCAGATTGTGTGTCTCGCAATTGCACAACCCTCTTTTTGAACTTAAGATCTGGGTTGGCTTCCTCGTGCCAATCCATTCCCAGAATCAAGTCAAACGGTAGGTTTTTTTCGATCAGGAAGGATACCTCATGCAAAATCTTCTTACCTTCCCTTGTTCGAAACCAACACTTGACACGATCAACATACTGCGAGACTGTGATCGTGCTTTTGTCAGCCAAAACAGACGTGATAGGTTTAGACAAGTTTTTCACCTTCATTCCGAGACGCAATTTGCGGATTGCTTTCTCGGATATATAGGATCGCGTGGATCCCGAGTCCAACAGTGCACCTATACGTGTACGTGCAATTTCTACATCCGCGAGTAGTAGGTCACCCTTAGACTTAGATTTCTTAGCCCACGAGCTTCGTAGTGCCAGCAATTCGTTACCAAGCTTGTCAAGAGAGTCGTCCAGAAAGACAGTACATAAGACAGGTTCAGGGTGTTCCAGACGATGGGCCGAAGAAGAACCATCCTCTGCCATGCGAGTCGAAGGGTTGGAAGGGTTAGTAGGCGCCTTACCTTCATCTTTGTCCAAACCCTTAGACTCAGTAGGAGCAGATGCTACTCCTACTGGCGGCTCGCTTTTGGGTTACGGATAAGTGGGCACCATGCAATCACATGCCCTGTGGTCCCACACTTCACATTATCCATTCTTTCCTGCCACGTTTCCTGTAACAGGCCCATCTTTTCCCAAGGCTTCCCGACCGCAATCCCGGGATGCTCTGGGAACGAGCGTGGCTTCATCTTCTTGACAGGCGGTCGTGGTCCTCCTCTGTTGACCACGGCAGCAGTGACTTCCCCCTTCCCGGAATCACTGCTGCTCGCCACACCCTCGGCCTCCAATGGCCACTTCTACACGGTATCGTCATCAAAGACGACAAGGTTGTGGTCCTGGCGCTTTTGGCGCCAAAGTATCCGCTTACCTGTACCTGCACCACCACCATATTTCACAACAGATGCATAAAAATTCTTAACCTGAGAAGTCATTTGCTCTCGTTGGAGAGCCAGATCCCGAAACTGCCTATAATTATACTTACCAGACTTGGACTCTGCCACGAGTTATCCACGGATGGGCTCTGGCAGAGCACGAGAATAGATGTACAAGACTTGGTTGTCTTGCAGGTTCAATCCCGGAACCTGAAGCAACCGATCAACTTCATGAGACAGCGATTCCACAGAGGTCCAATGTTTCTGACCAATTGTGGTGAGCTGGTCAAAAGCCTTGTCGGCCGTCGTTTTGTCCAGAAACCGCTCCTTGATCTTACCAAGGAACTGGTTGAGGTTCAAGGTTCCAGCCCACTCCCCAATGTCATCGAACCCTGCGGCATTGGCTTCGGCCAAAACCCACTCCTTAGCTTCCCCACCAAGACAAGAGGTAGAGAATGCAACCTGGGATTCAGGTTCAACAGGGGCCGTGCCACAGTATGTTTGAATCTCTGCGATCCACAAAAGCAGATTTTCATCTTTCTTATTACAAAATGTAAAAGGCAATTTCATTTTGACCTTCTCCTTTCTTTTCGGTTTCTCAGGTTGTTGGGTGGTGTCTTTACTTCCTCCGGGGACTTGGGCGGACTCGAAGGCTCCCCTTTCCTTGTTTCTGGTTTCTTTTTTGTCTTCTCTGTTTCTACCTTGAGAGACTTCATTGCGTCTCCCATTAGTTTCTCTGGCTTTTTATTCTTCTCTTCTTTGACCTTTTCCGTCACTTGGTTCTTTCCTTTGACCAGATTCGTGATTGTTTGTAGTCCCGCGTCCACATCATCAATTTGTGCAACAGTCTGGTCAATCTTTATCTCTAGGTGAGCAAGGTAAGTTACGAGTTGAGCCAAAGAAACTGTCTGTTCTTCCCCTTCGGTGTGAATGACAATTTGTCTGATTTCTTCTACTTTATGTTCTTCCTGTACATTTATTTCTTTTGCCCTTCTCATTTCTTCTTTCCCTTTCTTCTCTTTTTCAAGTGCTTCTTCCAATTGTCTGATGTTCTCATCCACGGTTTCTTCAGACACATCCATTTCTTTCTCTTCCTTCCGTTCTGAGATCTTTGCAAGTTGTTCCACAATAAACTTGTCAAGTGTCTTTCGACACTTGATTAGCTCATTCTGAACTTCCATGACGTCGGTGCCAGTCTCAGCTGATTCGATAGCAGCATGTACTGCTTTCAAATCAAACTGGGCCCAGACGTGTGCCTCAGCTTCAGCACCTGCGTCATGGAGTTCAGTGATCAGTTGCTCCAAGCGGCTTATGATAACTCGTTTCCGCTCTTCAACTTGCTGTCTGGTTCGAGGGTCACGGGTCTCCTCATCGATGCCAAACATGAGTGAGACGGGATAGAAAAGTAAAGGAATGAATCGAGTGAGTACTGAAAATTTCAGACAATTCCAAAGAGAATACATCTTGATGTGCGTCTGCCGCACAATAAATAATTAACTAACAGTAATAAATTCCACGGCCGCACTAATCTACAGCAAGATTCCTAACAACCGAAGAGAAAAAATAAATA